TTTGTGTAATAAATTAGCAATAAATAAAAACCAAATGGTATTAAATGTTACGTTGCACGGTGTGCAAACATTGAAAAATTTAACTAAAAAAAAAGATAATTGTGAAGATAATGGACCGACGAAATCTCATTTTCAAGATTCATTTCTACCCGTTAAATCTCAAATCCCAGATGAAAGCATGGAGAAAGCATCGGTTGAAATTCAATTTACAACTTCTCTCACGGATGAAACGATAAAGTCGAAAGAAAATTGTGGAATGAAAATCGAACCAACGAAAACATTAAACGAAGAGGAAATGAGTATTTTAATATCGGCTAATTTAAAATCAGAAAAGGATCCGGAAGCACCCAGAGTGCTAGATAAATCCAAGGATCTTTTAAAAACCGAATACATAAATCCTTCTCTTGCAACGGACACATTGAGCGAAATAAGTGCGAGCGTCGTCGAGTATGAGAAAAAAGAAGAAAAAGATAAAACATACTCGGGAGAAAATAACACCGAAGTACAAAAAGACGCAGAAGCAGAAAACAATAACAACAGCAACAGCAACAACAACAACAACAACAACAACAGTAATACAACAAATCAAGATTCAAGTTTCGATTCCATAATAAGCGATTTAAACGCCATTGAAAAAGTAGAAAGTTCTACATCGGCTCCTTTCACAGCATCCAATCTTCCCTCTGAATCGATTTTCCTACGTTTGGCCAACAGGATAAAAAATTTAGAGGTTAATATGTCATTGAGTTCGACTTATTTAGAAGAATTATCGAAAAGGTATCGGACTCAATTGGAATTAATATCAAAAACACTTAATTTAACGATACAAAAAGTCGAAGAACGTGCGAAATTGGAAGAAGAAAAAGAGAGGAAGAGAGAAAAAGAAATCATGTTGATACGAATGCAATTGGCTAATTTAACCCGTGACGTATCGACTTTCCTACGGGAACAAGAAAGTTGGAAACCTCAGGCATCATCCGTCAGTCAACACATATTTTTTATACTCATTGAAATTTTACTATTGTGGTTTTTTTTTAGTTATTGGAAAAAACCTGGGAGTAGAGTTTTGCAAGAGACGGAGGGGAAAAAATTACACAAAAGCTACGAAAGGAGAAGTTCACTGGAGGGTGTTAAAGGTCACGATGGACCGAAGAAAAAAGTCAGGAGACCCAGCGACGAAGCTTTAGATATCGCATTATCCAGAACGTACAAGATTGATAAAAAGAGAAAGAGGAAAAAAAAAGATAGCAAATGTTCTTTGAATAATTTCAATCCGAAAAGGAAAACGTCCGAAGGGGACGCATCGCAAATGTTCAAAGAACGTTGTTCTCTTCAAGGAGAAGAAAAACACGTTAAAAATTTGAATAACGCGACAGAAAATAAGGCTGAAATAATTCAAAACGTTTTTCCTATAGAATCAAATAATGTATTTAATAAATTATCGACTGCATCAAATGTACCTGTTATAAGTGGTGGGAGTGGGAGTGGTGGTGGGGGTTCAACGGGAAAATCCTTTCAAGGGATTACTTCGCCTCCTTATATAAAAACAGCTGCGTCAAGTAGAGATTTTCGCTTGCGTTTAGGAAGTAATAATAATAATAATAATAATAATAATAAAGAATCTAGTCATTAATTGTAATTAATTTTAATCTCGAAAATAATTAATAAACGAAAACGAAAAAGCTCAATTAAAATAATAAATAAAATTTAAAAAAATAGAAAAAATAAATAAAAAGTATTTTTTTTGAATTAAATTCGTTTTTATTTTAAAAAAATAGAAAATACATTATTATTATTATTAACATTGCTATTCAACGGTCAAGTTGTTAAATAAATGATCCAAATCGATTGTTTCGATTCGTAGTTTTAATTTTTCGTCGATTGCATTTTCTAAATTTCTAGCTGAATTATTTATTATATTTTTCCATTCTTGTTTCGAATTTAATTTTTTATTCGTTGCAAAAACAATTCTATTAACATCTTCTTTTAAATTATACCAACAAATATGTGAAAAATGTTTTTTGATTTTTTTAAATAATTTATCGTGTTCGGATTTAAGTCTCGAAACGACATTTATCACAAATATCCCTGGAACAACACAAAAAGAAAAAGAAATCAAATGAAAACTTATTTGAATTTCGAAAAAAAAAAAAAAAGTTTATTTATTTTTACCTTCGTTTCCCAAACTATCGGCAACGTTTTTCAATATGGACGATTCTAAAAATTGTAAAGGCGGACAACTTAAAGCCGAACCTTGTTCTTTATTATCAACATCGTACATGATAATATCATATTTAGATTTTTCATTTAAAAATTCTAAACCATCTTTAACGATAACTTTTAATTTTTCATTCGTTTTTAAACCGAAATATTTTTTAGCTATTTCCACGACGAGGGGATCCAATTCTACGCCGGTTATGGAAATGGAGGGAAAAAGATCGTTTAAAAGCATGCAAAGATTTCCACCGCCTACTCCTATAACTGCAATCGATGATGATGATGATGATGATGATGCTATTATCGGAGCTGGTATCGACATATAAAGTATGTGTTGAGATGCTATGTAAGATGAATCCACCGACAACTTTTTATTTTTACCTTAAATAAAAAAAAAAAATTTTTTTAACTTTTCGATGAAATTTCACTCACGCAATTAACGGTTTACCTTTTTTCATTTTTGCTTCTGATTGAACAACCGATTGATTATTTAAAAATATAAGCCTACGAAATATTTCATTGTCGATTGTGACATCTTCGACTAACAAATCACCCGAATAAGTACTTGTACCAGTAAAAATAGTTTCACGATGACCCATACCGTCTTCTAGTGTCAAATACGGTATGTTTTGAGAATTAGATGAAAAACTCATGAAGGGAGGAGCCAATTGTAAAATCGTTTGTCGTAATTCGTCTTGTACTTCATTTAATGTACCGTAATTTTGATTTCTGTGAAATGTTATAACGGCTAATCTATCATGTCCGGTCGAATCACGTAAATAATTACGTCCTTCAATAGTTCCAAACATCCAATCGGTTTCTCTTAAAAGTAAAAATAAAAAAATGATATTTGCAGTGAAAAAATTTAACTGAAAATGGAGATTTAGGTTTAAATTACCTTCCGAATGGTACAATAAAAGCAGCATATTTCAAAAGTTTTCTCTGATCTTTGGATACATCATTTATATATATTGTATACCTAGATTTTCCTGTTCCATCTTGGCAAAAATTTATTTCTACTTCACCTTTTGTTTCTCTAAAATTAAAAATGGTCTCCTGGATTCCACAAATAATATCAATAACTTCTTTTTTAGATGTTATTCTTTTCGACCTGCCATCAATAAATGCATTAATTTCCAAAATCTAAAAAAAATGTCTATATTTTACTGCATACAATTTTATTTACTTTAAAAGTTTCCCTGTTAGAAATTATTTACATTTTATTTATATTTATTCGAGTACAACAAAATAAATAGAAGTTTATCAAAAATATATGAACTTTATTTTAGAGTTAATAATTTCAAATGAAAAATGAACACAAACACTTACCGATTCCATTTTTTGAGGAGATTTAAATTTAATGCATACAATCATAAAAACAGGCATTGCCAAACTACCATTTTCAAAAATATGCTTTTTCTCTACATCCCAACATCTTATGATTTTTATCATCCATCCTGATTCCATGAAATAATCTAATAATGTTTTCAAAATATGTTTTTGAAGTAACGATATTATTACATATCTAAAAAATGCAACAAATATATACTTTTTGCTTATTAATTAATGACTCTGAAAAATTAACTTTTACCTGCCATGATATTTTAAAACCCTATCGACTTCAGCAAAAAGTTTATTAGCCCTCATCTTATCATCTTCTGAATCGCTAGGCATCAAGGCATCTAAAGTACCTTTATCTAATATGACAGTAAATGTTTCTTCTTTGTAAGTCATATTCAATGCATCCATTTCTTCGAATATCATTTCTGGTCTAGTTTTACCAACTTTGTTTTTCATTTGCTTAATAACAACACCACTTATGTCTATGCTGGTTATTTTTCTAAAAAAAAAATTTAAACGATTTTATTATATAAATATTTCTTTTACTTAATTATAAGACAGTGTAAAATATTTATGTGTGTATCTTATACAAACTTATATCCCAAATCAAATAATTCTGCACCAAGCATTGAATTCCCACATCCTACCATTAAAATAAAATCCTGAGTTTTAACATATTTGTGCAAGACTTCAGATAATTCCGCATACTCCCCATACCTAAATTTAATAAAAAAAATTAATTCAAACTACTGTATAACATAAAGTAGATTTTTTTTTGTTTTTGATAATTTTAATAATTTAAACCACCCATTCAAATTTTTTTGTTCCTCTCTCTCGGAAAAATTTATTCCAATATTCAACTTCAGCAAAATCTAATTCTGTTTTTGGAAGCAAACTCATTGTAAATACATATATTTAAAACTAAAAAAAAAAACAAAAAAATTAAAAAATTTCTATGTACTAGTATTAGAACTACTTTATTTTATATTTTTATTGTCTAATTCCACGATAAAACTAAATAAACTTTTTTTTTTTTAGACGTTGCAATAAAAAAAATTTTCAAAGCCGAAAGAGATAAAAACTAAAACATGAATTTATTGTATAAAATTAACATTTTGATGCCATTTAATAAAATTTAAAAATATTTAATGAATTGTAGGAAAGTTTCAAAATGCCTTCTCTTAAAAAAAAATGAATAATGTTTTAAGCCCGTTTATTTTTACGTAAATACAATTGATATCTTTTTCGAAATAAAATTTTTATATTATGATAATTCTTTGTTAGATTTTCAATTTTCCGTTTATTTAACGGTAAATAATTCTATTGACAGGCCGAATGAAAATAGAAGAAAAAAAAAAACGTTAAACGAAAACAAAAACGTTCCGGAACACATTTTTTAAATTTTATTTGTTTTCAGTTGTCTTTTTTTTTTTTTTTATTTATTTATTTATACGGTAGTAGTTGTGTTGTCGCATAGATGAACAACAAATTAAAATTTATGAGAATATGATAATTCATAAAGTGATAAGTCGGGGTTTAATAAAAAAAACCTTAAACAGTGTTTTAAAAATACAAACAGCAAATCTTTACAGCCGTGAAACAATCGGAAATCGGGAATGGGTCGGATATGGTCATTTCGGTACGGCCTGTTATTTAGATACAATAACCTGCCCTTTTCCATCGGTTAGATTTAAAGAAAACACAAACGAAATATTGGCACTTCGGGAAAAGGAAAAAGGAGATTGGAGAAAATTAACAATCGAAGAAAAGAAAACACTTTACAGAGCTTCGTTTCGACAAACAATCGCCGAAGCATATGCACCCACAGGCGAATGGAAATGGGTTTTGGCCATAGTACTCGTGGGTACATCACTAGGTATATGGGCATTTATAGCTCAATATTTCTTATTCCTACCCAAACTTCCGGAAACATTTAAAGAAGAACACAGGAGAAAAATGTTCAGACACATGTTGGTTAATAAAACGGGACATTTAACTGGATACTCATCAAAATGGGATTATGAACTTGATGATTGGAAAAAATAAATCAAAAAATTATTTATTTAAATATATCATTTCATTTCATTTTTTTTTTTTTTTTTTAAATATAAAACGTACGTCAAATAAATATTAATATAGATATTAATAAAGAAGATTTTAAAAAAAAAAATTCTTCTTTTGTTTTTATCCTTTTTCTTATTATTATGATGACGAAATTAACTGTCGATACAATCTTTTTTTTTTTTTTTAAACTTGTGCAGGTGCTTTTAAACCTAACATCATCGTCTTCCATATGTTACTTCATTATATGATTGTAATATTGCCACGTGCCTTCCTATTCCTATACCTATTCTTCTTCTTCTTCTTCTCTTTTACATTCAATCACTGTTACACACACACACACACACACACACACAAAAAAAAAAACAAATTTATCGTTAAAATATTTATTTATTTAAATAACTAAAAAATTTTCTAATAAAACCAATCGTTGGAAAAATTTTTTTATTGGCGTTTTTATTTATAAAAGCAAAAGAAAAAAAAAAAAAAAATTGAACCGACTTATAATAAATTCTTTTTATATCGGTCGGTCGGGAGGGGGAGGGGTGGGGAGTAAAGGGAAAACGTAATCAGTATATATATATATATATATAAAAACTTTAAGAATTATTTAAAAATAAAAAAAATTTCACTGGAAATTAAAACACAAAAAGAAAAACCAAACGAGAGTTAAAAATTTTGATTACACGCAATTTAAATTTAATTATAAGGCAAAAAAAAAAAAAAAAAAAACTTTTTTTTCTCCCTTTTTTGTCTGTTCGATAAATAAATATTTAATGAATTAATAGTCACTTTTTGAATATATAACTAAAAAACTAAAAAACTAAAAATGATAATAATATTGATTATGATGATGATATCGTTTCAATAATCATTATTATTATTTCTTTTTTTAATTTATTACGTTTCGTTAAAAGTATACAAATGATGCTTATTTACACAAAAAAAAAAAAAAAAAAATTTTTTTTTTACTTATTATTTATTGATAGGAAATTGATTTACCCATAATATAAATGATGATGATGATGATGATGAGCTTTTATAAAAATTTTCAAATTTATTAATTTTTACTTACCCCCCACACCCTCCTCCCCCTCCTCCTCCTCCTCCTCCTCCCTCGAAAAAAAGGTTTATTGTTAATGACATGATTGATTATTTATTGTTTTATGTGTACATAATTTTTTTTTGCTCTTGTTGTTCTCTTTTATGTATTAATTAAACATCACATAAAATTTTCCACACTTTTTACATTTATTTAATTTGAATAAATAAATAAACAAAAAATAATAAATAAAATTTTATTTTAATAACAAACAAACGTCATAATTTTTTTTTTAGTAATTTTTTAAATTTAATTTAATACTAAATTAACAAAAAAAAAAAAATGGTGCATAAAATGGTGCAATTTCAAACAACTAAAAATAAATTTAAATAAATAATAATAATAATAATAATAAAATTTTCGTTTGCTTTAGGTGCGAAAACAATAAAAAACTAAAATGACGACAAAATATTTTTTTTTTTTTTTTACAATAAAAAAAAATTTAAATTTATTTGGTTCGAAAGCTGTATCATTTTCAAAATTTATTTAACAATAATTATTAATAAATAATAATAATAATAATAATAGAAAGCTCTTATACATAAATTTATTGTTTTTTTTTCTCTCTCTACATTATTATTTACATAAAAATTTACAATTATTATTCATTTTAATATAATTTTTTTTTTTACTATATATAAAACAAAATTAAAAAATAAATAACAATTAATTATTATTATTATTATTATTGTCTAATTAATAATAATAATAATAATAATAATAATGAGGATGATTATATTATAAATCTTTGGTTTGAGAATGTTGTGTTTCTTGATGCCTTCTTAAATCGACTTTTCTTTGAAATGATTTTTCACAAAGTTTACAGGAAAAAGGTTTGAAACCTGTATGTTTACGCATGTGAGTTATTAAATTCGATGATTGACTGAATGCTTTTGAACAAACAACGCATTTATGTGGTTTTTCACCTTAAAATAAAAAATCAGGTTCGATCCCTATTAACGTTTTTTTTTTTTTTTTAAAAAAAGTAAAATCATCAAAGGTTCATTTTAATAATAAATAATAAAATGAAAAGTAATTGAAAAAAACAACGATGATGAACGACAAAAAAATTACTGGAAAGAAGGAGGAGGGAGGGGTGAGAGAGAGAGAGAGGAGAGGGGAAAGGAAATTGAAAATTTAATTTATTTAAGTGATGATAATAATAATAATAATGACTTTGGCTTAAAATAAAAATCTTTTTGATTTGAATCAATCAATCAATCAATCATAAATATATTATTGATTGAATAAAAAATAAAAAAAAAAGAGTTAATTGTTCGAACTGGAACGAGCTGGAAAAAGAAGGAGAAGGAGGTGGAGGAGGAGGAAGAGGAGTGATACTTTTTGGTATTATTATTAAAAAACACGAGCATTTAAATTATAAATGGGTTGCATCGAAAAGAGGGGGAATAAAATAACGGGGGGTGTTTTTGTAATGGAAACCTAACAAGGACTTTTCTTTTTTCTCGCATTAATTTATTCTACTCTTTTATTGCATTCATATTAAATTATTTAATAAAATTAAAAGGTTTTCTTTAAGTTTTTCCTTTTTTCCTTTTTTCCTTTTTTCCTTTTTTTGTGTATTTATTGGATTCTCAGTATCGATAAATATGAAGAAAAGAAAATTATTTTGATTTACAAAAAAATCCGTTTCCTATTATAGTGTATTGGCATAACGTTAAGAAAAAATTTTAATTAAAAAAAAAAAAAATAAGCGTACCTGTATGAATGTAGGTATGTTTTTTCATATCGGATTTTTGATGAAATCTTTTACCACAAAAATGACACGGATATGGCCTAGTATCGGAATGAATGAGTAAATGTGTTGATAATGTCGAAGATCTTTTAAATGATTTTCCACATTGTTTACACTGAAATTTTAATAAATTATTTATTTATTATTAAAATCAATAAAAAAAAAATTTTTTCGGTTAAAAAATAAAATATTTTGATGATAATAATAATAATTTTAAATTAAAACGTTTTAATTATAAATAATGCGGTGTTAAAAAAAAAAATCTCTTTTTTTTTTGTTATTTCGTCATCACACCTGTACACATACCTAAAAGTTTATTTTTTTTATAACTAGGTCAAATGAAGAAAACCAATGCAGCTGGTGAACTTGATTGTAGCTTTACGCGTTCTTAATTATTATTATTATTATTATTACTTTTTACAAATAAATTTTTCCTTTCTTTCTTTATGTTTAAGAGAAAATAATTTAGAAAAAAAAAAAAAAAATCCCCCAATAAAAAAAATTTATTTACGACCCTAAATTATTTGGCTCGTGCTGATCATTGGCCCTTGAAACAGGTATAACAAACGTAAATAATTTTATGGTTAATAATTTTTTAAAATAATAATAATAATAATAATAATAATAATATTACTAATGGATTTAATACTGTGAGGATTTTAATTAATTTATTTTGATTAACGTTATGCTCGAGTAAAAATTTTATTAATGAACGATCGTATATAGGAAAAAATTGGGAAGGGGGAGGGCGGAAAGTGAGGTAAAACGTACCTGAAACGATCTATCAATCGATGATGTTTGAATTGGTGATAGAGAAAAAATTTCAGAATTCCAATTTTCAGAACTTTGACTTAAAGATCCATCTTCATTTGTATTATTTTCACTATGAGGACTCCTCGTTCTTTCATTTTCACAAAGGCTTGCAGGAGACCAAATCGTATTTGATTTTTTTCTTGTTCTTATACATAAATCTAAAGGTCGATCGTCATCGTCATCGCCATCATTATCATCATCATCAACTAAAATCATTTTATTTATTTCGAATAAAATCGGAAAATTATAAGTGAGTTACTCGTTACGAATAAAAATTACCATTTTTTGTTTTTACTGGACTGCAACATGGTTCGCTATATCTATCTCTTCTATTTGAAAAAATAAAAGGATGAGTTTTCGTATTTAATGGTGAATAAGGAAGAAAAAAGGCGGGAAAAGGTGGCCAAAAATATGGCGTGCAAACATTTGGCCGTACGGAATTTATTAAATTATCATCTTCTCTCGTATTTGATATAAATGTTATATTTGATGAATTTTCCTTTGACGAATTTTCTATTCTATCTTCAATCAATCTGGGCATTTTCTATAAAATAACACACGTTAAATTTATAAAAAAAAAAAAAAAGGTTATTTTAATTAATAACTTATTAATTTTAATAAATTAATTAATTTATAATTTTTTTTTAATTACCTTTTTTTGCAAAAACTACGTAAACACTTAAATTTCCTTAAATTTTTTTATTAATTAACCAAAAAAAAAAAAAACATAATTCAAAACGTTTCAAATTATGTAAATACGTATCAACCAAAAATTTATTATCATTATTATTATTAGTTAATAAAAAAAAATTATTTGTGTAAAAAAAATACTTTGGAAAATTTACTGATGAAAAAAATAAATAAATAAATAAATTTACCTTCACCATCCAATTTAAATAAAATTATTAAATTATTATTATTATTAACGGTTTTTTTCCCAAGTTAATATGAATCCAATAGAGTTTTCCAAATGAAAATGTTTTAACCATTTAAAAAAAAAGGGGGGGGGGTTCTTTTAATTAATTAATTAATTAACGAAACACATGTTCTCTTATTATTCATTCTCTCTCCCCCCAAAAAAAGAAAAAAATAATTAATTAATAAAATCACACACGAAAATAAAAAATTCACAAATCTATATCACTGATTGTTTAAACATAAAAAACATACAAACACGAACACAAACACAAACACACGGATTGTTTGTGTTGTCTACAGACAATCTTTTAGTTTAGTAAAAAAAATTTTTTTTTTTTTTTTTTTTATTATGAAGACGCCTCGAAATTTTTTGTTTTTATTCCAAACTGATTAAACAATTTTTTCATTGGTTAATATAAAATTTTACCTGATATTTTTAACAACGTGATATCTCACAAATAATAATAATAATCAATTTTTATCCTCTTATAAAAAAAAAAATTATTTTATTTATTTATTATTATTATTATTATTATTATTATTCCACGTGAAATTATTTATTTACGTACAAGTGATTACCGAGAGATTATTAATTAAAAATTTTAATTAATTATATAAAAAATTTAATTTTTTTCCAGGTATTTTTTTTATATAAAATGACATATTCGGTTTTGGAACTGGATAACCGTTGAATACTGGAATGGGAGTGACTTGAAAATCACTGATTAGTCGAATAATCACTTACCTGGTTTCTTTTTTTTTTTTTTTTTTCTTTTTTTCATTCGATTGCATAATTCAAAAAAATTTAACGATTTTTTTTTTTTGGAAAAACAACAAAAAAAAAGTTCCATGATTCCATGCCTAATAATAATAATAATACTATTAATTTTTCCGTCTGCTTTAAAATATTAAAAAATTTTTTTATGACATTTATATTTTGTATATAATAATTTCGGGTAGTGAAAAAAGAAAGAAAATATGTTTATTTCCAACAACAGCAACAACAACAACCGACAACAACAAACATTTCGTTTAAAAAATTCGTTGTTTTAATTAATACCCGAAAAAAATTATCAAAAAACCCCCCTAACCCCCCAATCCAAAAAAAAGAAAACCGTTAAAAAAAATTACGTGAGTTTAAATGTTTTGTTTAATTGAAATTTAAAATCTTTTAAATTTTTCCCTTTGTTCTCCCCCCCTCTCTCTCTCTCTCTCTTCCGTCCTCTCTTCTCCCCAAAAAACAAAAAGACAATTGATTAAACCCCGAAAGAAAAATCCAAAAAAAAATTTAATTTTTCTTTATTTTAAAAATGGCTGCATCAAAATCATTTTTAGTTTTTTTTTTTGAAATTCTCTCGACGTTGAACTAAATTAAATTTTTTTTTTTTGGAAATGGCCAAACGATGGTGATGATGATGATGATGATGATGATGGCATACGGTATAACCGTTGATAATACCACCACGATTATCATTAAACCATCCAATCGTTGAATTTTTTCTACCAGCTGTCGCATCGTACCAACTTTTTAAAATAAAATTTTCACGAAAATTTCTTAAAGTTTTTCTTTTATTTCTGAGTAGGGGGAGGGGTAGGAAGGCGGGGAACGGGAGTATTATATAGTTTTAATAAGTTTTATTTTAAAAAAAATAAAGTAATAACAAAACAAACAATCGTGCAATGTCTACGTATTGTTAATGAAGTTTTTTTTTTGAGTTTTGAAAAAAAACGGTGGGGCAAAGATAGATAGAAGAGACGACCCCAAGTCTCTAAAACGGTGGCAAAAGGTGTATCTTCGATATAACGGTCGACTTACCGTCGGCCACATGTTTTATTAAAAAAAAAAAAACCAGACTACCTTGACAGTTATGTTAACCTTATGCAGAAACCATTTAAAACTGGCATACGAATGTCGCAAAACTTGTACCACGTTCCAATCAAAGTGAAATCATTGGCATGCCATCTGCAATACCCTAAAAAACCATCGTGGATTCGTCCGTAACGTTTGGCGCGTGCTCACCTTCTATACCATCCAATTATTATTATTATTATTATTTATCATCATCTTTCCCTTTTTTTTTTTTAAATAACGATACTTTTTCTCTCTCTCTCTCTCTTTCTGCCTATGTAAATGTAAACCTTTCTTGAAATCTCGAATGAAAGAAAAGGATACGTTAAGGTTCAAATCGATGTTTGAGAACATTCTAGAAGGAAAATTCAAAGACATAATATTTAAATAAAACTTAATAACATACATAATATGGTTCAGAAAGAAAAAAAAAATTTTTTTTTTTTCGGTTAAAAAAAGGTTTTCTCACCTGTCAACCAGCATATTCAGGTCTGACAACGTATTTTCTTGTTACATAAAATTTTTTTTTTTTTTTTTTTTTGTGAGAAGTTTGGTGTTCGTTATTATTGCAGGTGCTTGAATTTGTTCAGACATTTTTTTTTTTTTTTTAGTTAATAACTTTTTTTTTTGTTAACTTAATGTCCGTTTTTTAAATTAAAAATTAACTTTTTTCTAACGTTTTTTTTTTTGGGGGGGGGAAGGGGGAAACAAATCAACGAGTTTTCCATTTTGGCAATAGAAGAAAGGAACAAATTTTTTTTCTTTTTCTTTTCCTTTTTTCATTAATGAATGAATCGTAACTTTATTTATTTATTTATTTTGTAAATAAGTAAATATTTAATTTAAATCTTTATTTAATTTATAATCATTTCTCACAAATTGAGGATGTTACTTTAGAAAAAACGAAAAGGAAATTAAAAAAATCTTAAGTAAATTTTTTTATAAAATAAAAACGAGGTAAAAATAATTCGGAACATTAGTAGGCATCAATAAAACTGAAAATTTTGTTTTTTTTTTTTTATTGTTTGTTATAGACCAGGTGCTAAGGTATCAACCGATAAACATTTTAAGGTTTTCCGGCCATTAGCATTGTCTTTTACAATATTTTTAACGATTTTTTATTATTTTTTTTAATTTATTTAATTCTTTTTTTTTTTTTTTTAAAAACGTTACAACTTTGTTCCTTCCCCTCATACTAATCCTGTGTCATTTCCTTTTATTTAAATAATTTAATCGATTTTATAATATAATCGTGATGGGAAACTAAATATCGGAATTTAAAAAAAAAAAACAAAATTTTTAACGATTTTTTTTTTTTAAAACAAAACAAAAACAAATTTCTTCATTTTCGATCGTTTGTTTTCTTTTTTCCTTTTAAATTCCGTTTGCCACCTGTTGGGTTATTTAAAAACTAATTTTTATAAATATAAGAGAAAAAGTTTATAAATTGAACGGTAGATGTCGGGAATGTGCTTAACTTTATTTCATTAAACATCAAAACAAACTTTATTTATTTATTTACTTTTTGCAACAATAATAATAAAATAAAATTAGTAAATAATTTTTTTCAATTGTAATAATAATAATAATTTACGTTTGGTTTATTACGAAACGGAAAAACGGAGAAATTCGTTTTCTTAAAATTTTAAATAGAATAACCAAGGAAAAGAAAATTAGATTCGTTTGCGTGCGTGTTGCTAAAAAAAAAAAAAAAAAAAAAAAAAGGAAAAGTTTTAAATGAGGTTTTAGGTGATTTATTCGCTTTACTACTACTCCTACTACTACTACTCATACGGTTGTTGCGGCGATTCAATGGAAAATTCCATAGAGAATAGCGTGACAGAAAAATATATACGATTTATCCATGAGAAAAGCCTAAAATTTAGAAATCTCGAAGGTCTTCACAATCCCATCTACGGAAAATTTTATTAAAGGGAAACCAAAAAGAAAAAAGAAACACGCAAAAAAAAAAAAAAAAGAAAATACTTTTTTTCATGTTTTTACGACTTTTAATGTTTAAAGAATTAAATAATAATAATACTAACAACAATAACAACAACAACAACAATCTTTTCCCTTCTTCTGAATTTTTATTTTTGTGTGTGTCTGCCTGCCTGCCTGCCTGTGTGTGTGTGTGTGTGTGTGATGATACAAGAAATAATAATAATAATTATTATTATTATTACAGTATTAAATTTTCTGCTTTTTTTTCTCTCTTAAATTTTTTAATTTTTCATTTAATATTTTAGCATCGTTTAATATATATTTAAGATTATCAAATTCCGTATTATCATATATATTATGACATTTTTTTTTATATGAATTTAATTTTTTTTTCTTATCATTTATATCGTTGATTCGAGAATTCGATGACGATGATGATGATGATGATGATGATGATAATTGTCTTTTGAGTAAATTTAATTTTTCGCTAACATTTGCTATTCCACGTTTTAATGATTTCAATTGTAAACTCCTGCTTTGATTTTTCATATCATTATCGATGATATTTTTTTTATATATTATTTTAATATCATCAAAAGACGAATTCACATCCTTAATATTTGAATCACTTTTCCATGACTGGAAACAAAAAAAAAGAAAAGGAAAGGGTGAAAGAGGGAAGTGGGGAGGTGCTACACAAAAAAAAAAAAAAATTAAAATTTTTACCTTTAATTTATTATTATTATTATTATTATGAAATTTATCAAATGTTTCCTCCTTCATTCGAACTCTTAACAAATCCGGTAACGATTTATATGTTCCATTATTAT